ATTTAGTGCATTTTCCAGTCAGTGAAATAAGCAAAATTAAAACCCAGTGAATAATTAATCCTTTTACAGTATACAGTATACCACATATATAAATTTGATACTCCATGCCACGTGACTGAAACAACGCCATCAGCGGCCAAACGTGTTATGAGACGTACATAACACGTACATGTGGTTGACGTCACAGTATTTTTGATTGGATAGCGAATTGTGGCCTGACACGGCATTTGACTTTGAACTTGTCACATGAGTACATGTCGTTTAATTCTTTGAAGTGGTGGATTTAATGAATGGTAACAATTTGCAAGATGTTCAAAAAACGCAATATTACTCAAAAATATCGCGATAAATTGCGATTGTCTATCAACTCGATCACTACTACATCAGCCAATCAGAATGCACGTTGGATCAGCACGTATTTCGTCAACATTGCAATTTCGTAATGAAAGTAGGGTTACTCTATGAATTTACTCAGACACTTTTTTTCTTCTCTTCCCCTAACAGTTTTCTAGTACACCCCGCGTTTAAATTAGTTTCGGTTGTTCAACCCACAGGCGGTTCAACCAACAACGCAAACGCCCCTCCAATCTGACCGTGGGTGGCGCTAGACAAAATGTAATGCATTCATCGAATAGTAAAATTGCCGCAAATCTTTACATAGTTTTGACATTCAGAGTTCCAATGGAATTGTAAAATATGTAATTGAACTCTTAATGATATTTCTCTATTCATATACCACTATATACTAGATATTAGATATTTATGACATACTCTTTCAGTTGCCGAAATAGCTCAGTTGGGAGAGCGTTAGACTGAAGATCTAAAGGTCCCTGGTTCAAACCCCGGCGAACTCGCACGAGTTCGGTGAACTGTCCCGGGTTTCGGCAGATATCTTTTTTTCTTTCTACATTTTTTTTTTTTAAATATATTTTTTTCAACTGTCAGGAAAACTGAATAATTGTCTATTTCACGATTTTTTCCCATTTTCCCATTTCTTTAACACATACACATGTACTAACCGCAGAACTAGTGACATTTTGCCATATTCATTAGTTTTTTTTCATTTCATAGATTCGAAAGCAAATCTAACTTATTGTTTGAACAAATTTTCAAATAAGTTTAAATTCACTAATTAAGCAATATTTAAACCAATTGAATATTTAATGAATTTAGAGTTGTACCGGTAGTATTTATAGCTCATACTAGCTATATTCACTTTCAAAATCACACAGTCATGTTAATAGCTCGTAGAGGCTATAATTTATGCAGCAATCAACTCGCTATAAATATACATATTTATGTACAACTCCACTAACCCTTACGTAATTGCTTTATGAGTAGCACATGCACTTATGTAAAACAAATAACTCTTATTTGAATGACCCAGCATACAAGAAGAATAAATGCAAATCCTCATTAAAAACTAATAAAAATATTGTCAATTTTTTAATACTTCTATTTTATTAAAGTATTTTGTAATACATACACTATATACCCTTTTTTTTAACCATTGTAACCGAACACAATTTTGAGATACCAAATATCCAATCCACGGGAATCAATGGTAACATGCAATTTTCACTCAATTTTGTAAATCGGTTTTCTCTGAACTGAGTACAGTGACCCTATATTTTTAATTCATTTTCTTCATCCTTGTAACATAAATTATCAAATATGTAGAAAAAAAAAAATTTTCTTTTCTACTTTTGTGTAGCATTCTACACTAGATGCTTGGCACAAGATAATCTTCACAATTTGAGTGATTGCAATGTCATTAAGTCTACGTTATGCCTACCTGGATTTCCCTGGAAAATCATTCTTTAAACATTCACATGCATTTCTCATTGACATTTATTGAAGTACGGTGTTCATCAGTATGGGTCCCATGCTACGTGTAATGTGTGTGATAATTGCTCGCTCACAAGATATTAGAACCATACTGCACATCTAATGATTTGTGAAAAATGGTGGAAGAGTGGGACATGGTACTGATACGGGAAAGATTCATAGATTAACTAATTTGCAGTAATAATCTGTTGAATATTTTGTTGAATGACTAGTCAATTGAGTTGAGTTGAATATATATCATATTATTAAATATCACACATCTATTATCGTATCACCATAGTTACTGCATGTTGTAATTTTGTGATAAGGCATGGGGTTGCTGCATCCTACCTTATTAAGAAATACGAATTCTAAATATGGAACCGTTTCACGTTTTTAGATAGCAAACTCGTTTGGGATTTGTTTGATGAACACGCACTTCTCAAGTTGTCTTGTCTTAATTTATACATGTTAGATGGCATATGCATTTATTGCTACCACAGTCAAGCTAATATACTCAGCTTCTTAGGCTAGTTGTATTGAGTTTGTTACAAAGCAGGATTCAAGACGAGGGCTTCATGTCAGGATTTTAGGTATTCCAGATAAAAAATAAATCAGTCAGGTTCGAACATGCATAATTCTCGAACACTGATTGCAATTCATGATTATTAGTTTAACAGTTAATACAGTTTTAATACCACAAATGCCTGGATGAGAAGGATGTATAATAACAAGATAATTACAAGGATATCGCAAAGTATATACTGAGACATTTACATGGTCGCATCGCATCAACCTCCACTGTCTTCATTCAAACTTTGCGGTATTCTCCTAATAACCTCATCGCATCTAAATAACACTTCGATATGGTAAAAAGTCAGTGAAATCACTGCGACTCAGTAATATATACAAAACAAGTCGCAGCTAGTATATACTGGTACTGTGCATTTTATATCCGAATCATTTTAGTGAACACTTCCTGTATCCAATTTTGGATTCAATGGACAGAATCTGACAATGTTGACAGACTTTGATCAAACATTCTGAAGTTATGTCCATCAATACTCCGTAGGAAATATAAAAGGACTATTTAATGAAAGGCGAGGGAATGAGACGTTGTCCATCAGTGTAACAAATCTATGAAGAGATAAAATAAAGAAAACACACAAAAAATTGATAATGTATTTATAAATCTTTTAAGCGCAAGCATATTGTACAAGCATAAAACATTCAAACTGATTGCATTGTACTATTGCACAAATATGAACTCCCATGAGATACTCTTCCACAGGTTATGAGTAATTGTATCGTAGTCTTAATTCTTTTTTTCAATTTCAATTTAGTCCCAACAGATTCTTGTCCTTTCCTGGGTTTAGTTCCCATGGATTCCAGTCCTTTCTTTTGTTTAGTT